GACTTTATGACGGTTGTTGACCTTCCGCGGGAAACCTTCAATGGGAGGAAGTTGGTCATAAATCCTGATGCCATGTCTGAGGAGGAACATGCAAGGCGTTATAACCGTCCTATTGGTCTACATGAGGTGTCTGTTCTGATGGCCGATGAACTCCTTCCTCGTGAGCTGGAGATTCGTTTGCGTGCTCCTCTTCCTGGTGAGCGGCAGACAGTTGTGGTTCCAGAATACTCTCGAGCGCACGATTGCTTAAGGTGTGTTTTACTTTTTCCGGAGGGAATTGATAGTTGGTATGTCCGACGTGCCTCGGAGGCTAGATGGCCGCCAGGACTTAGTGCCAAGGAGTACTATGCATTTCACCTTCACGAGCGCGACGGTGAAAAGCCTTGCCTCCTTTATGCGGCACGTCTCTTCCATGAGTTTTGTTGCATGGCGTATGCTAAAGTTGAATCTCTCCACTTAAAATGGGTGAGATTCCACCACAAAGAATTGCGCTCGGAGTATTATTAGGATTTACGTGACATTATGCAACAAAATCAACGAGGTGACAGTATTGGGACAAAAGTGGTTTTACCGTTAACGTTCACTGCGGGGCCTCGATATATGAGTGAAAGATATCACGACAGCATGGCAATTGTGAGACGATTCGAAAAACCGGATCTTTTCATCACTATGACGTGCAATACGAATTGGCCGGAGATCAAACAAGCCCTGTTGCCAGGTCAATGTCCTAACGACAGGCCGAATCTTCTCGCACGAGTGTTCAAGGGTTGTCTTGCATAACTGATTGATGAGATAAAGAACAAACGGATCTTTGGTAGGGTGAGTGGAATGTTGTATGTGGTGGAGTTTCAAAAAAGGGGTCTACCACACGCACATATATTGGTTATCTTGCATCCGGATGATAAAATTATGGATGCGGATGCTGTTGACAATGTGGTGTGTGCCGAGATTCCTCCGGAAGGGGAATTGAGAGAAAGGATAGTCAAGTTCATGGTGCACGGGATTTGTGGTGCAGAGAAACGCGATGCTTCGTGTACGGAGGATGGAGAATGCACAAAAGGGTTTCCGAAAGACTTCATTTCCACAACAACATTCAAGTCAGGACCGATTGTTGCGGCGACGCGGAAAACATGCACGGGTGGTGCAGCAAACGACAAAATCGACTATAGAAAGGCCGAATGTCAGATTTGAGTCAATGAGTCACAACGCGCCGTTGTGGAGTGTGCAGTGCGTAGTGTGCTTTGTGCAGCGTTGCGCGCCATTGCTGTGGCAGTGGACGCGCAGTGGGCGGGATCTGGCGTCGCGGCAGGGTGGACGAGCGATGGCGGGGGCAGGACAGGCGGGGCCCAGACGCGAACGACGGGGTTTCAACTCCCGTTCAATAGGGGTTCAACTCGCGTTCAACGGGGGGCGTTGGGCGGTGTTTCGACATGGGTTGAGCGTGGATTCGACGTGGGGAACGACGGGGGGAACAACGGGAAGGGAAACGACGGGGGAACGACAGGGGATCGACGGGGGAGGAACGGAGTTCTTCGGACGACACGGGAGCGACGCGGGGGATCAGCGTTATACGACAGCGACACAGACGACGGCGGGAGAGAGAGAGAGAGAGAGAGAGAGAGAGAGAGAGAGAGAGAGAGAGAGAGAGAGAGAGAGAG